TTTTGCATATTTTAATATTTATTACGCTATTCAGAACTTCCATTTTAAATTGCAATTTTACTAATTTAAAATTATTTAAGAACTGTGTGCGTGGCAAATGCGCTCTCATCGCTTCAAGGGACAAAATATCTTTACTAACTTCATTTTCGCTCTCTCTTTCTATTTTCTTATTCTTTCCATGCTTATCAAATATGTATAACGAACTCGGAACGAAGTGGAGAAAATTTTCTGTCATAGTCATATTATTATTGTATTATCAGCAGTTTTTTTCCTTTTTCGGTTTCTGCTACATGGAAACAACAACAAAAATCAGAACAAAATTAAAACGAATAAAACTGATGATTGTTCACTTTTCTGTTGATTTTTTTTTTCTAAAAAAAATGTAACTTATCAGTTTTATTTGTGTTTTGCTATATCAGCACGTTCTCTCTCAGCTATGTACATTTTTTCTATAATTTTTATTTTTTTGCTTCTTATAACACATTCCAAAATTGAATTGCTGATAACGCGATTGATCATGTTACCTCTTCACATAATATTTACTTTTTAAAGTAATGCATATATACGTTTGTAATTGTAATAAATTTATGTATTTTTACGTTATTATACATTTCAATAGAAAGTGTAAGCGGCATGACATTGTCTTTATTTTCTTTTGCTGATTGTTATTGCACGAATACTAAGAAATCCTTATGAACTCTAATAAACTAGCCATGAGCTTTAATCGTTTCAGTCAGGGGTTGGTGCTGTTGTTTTAAAACAATTTGAGGAAATGCTTGAAATTAAAATTTGAAAGTTGTGATCTTACGTAAAAATACGTACGCATATCCCAAAAAGCTTTAACTTTACAATAATCTCAATTCCACGCATGCATTGAACATTTCCGCGCCAAGCATCACAGACACAATTTTTCTTTACAACATGAGCACGCTTTCTATCGCATTTAGACACAGCATTTTCTAAATGAATCGATCTGATTAAACTTCATTCCCTGACCGTGACTTAATAATTTGAAATAAAAAAGAAATGTGTTTTTTTTTTTCATTTCACTTGAACCTGAATGAATAGTTAAGACATCGAAGAAAATTTTAGATGAGAAATTACTGTTTCAAACATTTTTAATGATTTCATTGTGTTCAATATAGGAAGCAAGAAAGCGAAGTACGGCATAAGAAAGAAATAATAAAAAAAAATCTGAAGGTGGAATGAAATTGGAAAACATGTTGTCTTGTATATTTTATATATATATATGCTTATGAGAAAGAGAGATGTATAATAAAAAAAAATTGTATAAAAATTGACAAAAGAAACTTGAAAGGAAAAAGAAAGAAAAAAAAAGCAAAAAGCATAATAAAAGAAGCAAAAAATACTCTGTTCTTCTTCTTTTTCTTTCTTCATTTCGATTATTGTTGTTGCTTTTAGCATTAATGGTTTTACGAAGCTCTATACAAAAAGTTGATGCATGCAAGATATCTGTTTGTATTTTTTTTTTACATTTTAACTCAACTGTCTTATGTCGTCTCGTTAAGCAGAAAGAATAAAATCGGATACGAATTATGGCAAATAAGCGCGCGCTCGAAGTGACCGGTTTTTGCCTCGTTGTATATCTTTACTTTTGACTTTCATTTTACTGCCTTTTTTTTTCTTCAATCCCAGACGTATGAATGGCAAAGAATATGTACACAAAAACTGCATATATTCGCATTTTTTTCGTTCAATCAGTAAGTGCAAAATGAATTCAGCATTCATAATTATTGTTTTGCATATACACTTTTTTCCAATATATATATATATATATATATATATATATATGCACTCGAAATATTATTGACCGAAGAGTGTAATGAACAAAATGAACAGTTCGAATGATTTTTTTCTTTCTTAAATTCTTTTGATGAGTTACAGTGGATTTTTTTTTATTTTCATTTCAGAGAGATATAGAGTAAGTGAACGAGAGAAGTAAGCAAGCGAGGAAAAAATAAATATTATAGAACTTTTAATTTCATTATTATTTATTTTTGTCGAACGCGCGAAACTTAAAAATGTTAAAATGTACGTAATATGTAATATATTAATACTCACTTACCCAAAGATTATAAATATATATCTCTTTATTTCAAATATACGTGAAGAATAATATCCAATTTTAGATAGATGTGCCGCACACAATTGAATTTTTTTTCTCTCTTTTTTTACCAACTTCTTCTTATTCACTTTCAAAGTTTCGATGCTAAGCAAATCTCAATTTTTTAATTAAATTCACAAACACTACTTTAATTAATATACCTTTCCTTTTGCTAATTATGATTTATAAACTATTATTTATAATTGCTTTACTATACCGACTTGCAGGATTTTATTTTTGACTTGAAGGAATTCTGATCTTTTTATGATTTCAAGAAATTTCACCTTTTTTTATTTATCACTATTTCACATCCAAATACAGATTTTCCCCGCTATATTTTATCACTACTTTAAATATTATAGTCTAATGTACAAAATTATGTCCATTTTATGCACATCCAAGCACTATTTCGATGATTTTTGTGACTGATCAAATTGTGACGCCAAGATTTTTTTTTTTGAGGAAATATGGCTTTTGAATACACTCACTGTCTTATACGAAACGCACTCCTCAGTCTTTAAACTGTCTATTGACGGTTGCTTTCAATTTTATCGCGATGCTTCTAATTTACTTATTTATTTTATGACTCTTTAATCGTTGAATATCTTCCCATTATGATTTGTATTGACTTTTGAATTTAAATTGTCGATTTAATATATTTAAACAGAAAAATGCCTACTTTATGATTAAACTATTCTTCTATATCATTCTGTCATTTTTTAACAGACTTAAACTTAACGAAGTAGAGTATTAGGGAAGAACCTAATGCAAACATATTCACACCGTACTTACTATAGAAAGTTTCGATCGATAAATGTTTGAAAGTTAAGGGTTCATTGAAAAATGAAATTTCCCAACGACTGTTCCTATTTTGAATAAAACAGCTCTTTTATCGGAAGTAAAGTTTCAGGCACAAACTTTTCTTCTTGGGACATTACTTGCCATTTTGATTCATATCCTCATAAAATACAAATTAAGTACATTAACACGGTGTGAATAAAATATTAACGAAGTTTCCAAAATTCTACTTGAACGAAAACAAGCACGGAAGTTAAAGAATCAAAATATTGAATCTGTTCAGAAATATTAAACTTTTTACTACTTCGCAAAAACAGTAAATTTTATTAAAATGGGTAGTGAAATAAAGTCCCTAGAGCATCCAACGTTAAAAGTAAGCAGATCTTTGGATTACAATGTCGAAATAGCTGAAAATCAAGCTGTTTCGTCTGTGGAAATTAAACTTTTCTTTGTTTTGAAATTTTTTACTGATAAAAGAAATTTTTATCGATTTCCATTGAATGACAAAATTTTTATGACTGGATCTTTAACATCTACTCTAATCTCTTCGACTCTTCTTAGGTTCCATATGAGATTCTCAACAAAAAGTTTCGTACGACACAAAAGACATTAGACAAGGAACTAAATTCAATTCTTCAAACAGCTGCTTGCGAGCTAGAAAGAGGTTTAGACAACACTCCAATTGTTGGAAACATTTCAAAGCTATTAGATAATGTAATTGAGAAGTTGAATGTTCTTAAAAGGAAGGCAGAGGAGAGTATAGGCGATGAGTTGAAAAATGGTAAGTTTCATTCAGACATCTTTATCCTTGAAACTTTTCAATACTCGTTTCGATTGTCTTCTTCTACTTCTGTTTGCAGCAAATGTATGCAAAAAAAGACTCGAGCATATTAAGCAGAATGTCTGCAATACATCTACTTTACATAGCAAAATGATTATTGATGGAGATGAGAATAATTCAAATGAATCACAAATCGCAATTGCTAATCAATGGAAAAAGATCCGTCTTAATCGTCTCATAGTTGAGCACTTTTTACGTCTGGGATATTATGATACAGCAGAGATTCTTGCGAATCGCTCAGGAATTAGAGACATCACAAATATTGACATCTTTCAAGTATCACGTGAAGTTGAACGTGACTTGTCAGAGCATAATACAACTAAATGTATTATGTGGTGCATGGATAACAAAAGTAAGCTACGAAAGATTAATTCCGATATTGAATTTAAGTTGCGTCAACAAGAATTCATTGAATTGATAAGAAAAGGAGAACGTTTGAATGCAGTTAAACATGCACAGAAATTCTTTCCTGCTTTTGAACAAGATCAAATTATGGAAATCAAAAAGTCAATGGCACTTTTAGCCTTTCCTTTAGACACTGAATTAGAGCCATACCGCTCTATGTTTGATATTAAACGATGGGACGAACTTCTTGTGAATTATCGCTTAGAAAATTATCGTCTTTTCCAAATTCCTACACAGTCTGTTTTGAGCGTTGCTGTAAGTTACCAATCCTGTCATATTCAACTTCAACTTGGTTTAATTTCATTTATCAATTTTAGGTCCAAACTGGTCTATCAGCTCTTAAAACACCTCAATGCTACTCAACAAATTCAAGAAATATTAATTGTCCTGTATGTCAGCCTCAAATTAATGAAATTGCATTTTCATTGCCATTTTCTCACTGTGCACAAAGTCGATTGATCTGTCGAGTAACTAAGAAGCCACTAAATGAGAATAATCATCCTATGGTGCTTCCAAACGGTTTTGTTGTGGGTGAATTGGTAAGCTCTACTAAGCTATACTTCCTTACAACTATAATAACTTTTGTGCTCCTTTCAGGCTCTTTCTATTATCACCAATCAAGATGGAATTGTTGAATGTCCATTCACAAGCGAAAAATGGGCAAATCCTAAAATTGAAAAAGTTTATGTCATGTAGTTATCACAAATTCTAATGAATGTTTGTGTTTAATAATGGTTTTAATATATTTTTCTTGCGGATTACATTTACTTTGGATTAATGACAAAATTAAAATTACCATAATTTAAAAATATTCTATGTTCTTATACTTATTGCATCCTTAATTACAGAATAAGGTATTTTTGTAACAATTTCTTTTAACGTATTTTAAAAATTCAAATCCCTACAAATGTTTTCAGTCCATTGTTTATCAATTTTGTTTTTCTCACAAAATAATCATTTTTAATTTAATTTGTTTAAATCTAGTTAATTAAGTGCAAAATGAACTTTTTAAGAAACCCAGATGATCAAGCTGCAGATGATCTGATAAAGGAGTATGGAAGATTCATAAGGAACTACCAGGAAATGACTTCAAATTTGACAATCGGAAAATCGGCACCAACTCAATATATTCAATTAATTTGCGACCAAAATCCTGAAAATATCTCAATGATTGAATTACTAGATTCTGAGAATAAGCTAATGACAAAGGTATTGATAGTATTTTTTCATCTTAATAAAGAGGCAAGGAAGTTAACGAAGCATTCCAAAGTTATTGCTAATAAGCTAATTATAATTGAAGACGAGATAATCAGTGTGAATGAACTGGCTGGATCTTCTGGAGAGAATTTGCAGGATAATGCATTAGTTAAATTCAGTTATGCTTTAGAGGATCTCGTTGATATGAAATTTGTGATCCAGAATACAATATATTTGTCTGTAAATATATTTCAACAATACTGTGCATTATTTTCAATGGACAAACTCTTACACATAACTCCAACGACTCAATTCCCATCAAATTTAGATGATGTGCTTCTTTTATTCCGAAACTTGATGGTTTTTGACTTGATATTTAAGAGTGGGGTCTACAAAATGTATCTCGAGCAATACAGTAATATGCTGTTTGAGCAGCAAATGGAAGAAGATGATCGGTATTTAAATTTACAAAATACTCTACACGAATTGGACCTTTTATTGGATGGAAATATCTTGCAAATAGCACTCGACAATATAATTGCCATAAAAGAACGAGTTAAAGCCAAGAATCTAAAATTGCTAGAAAATTTTATGTTATCGTACATTAAAAATCTTATCTATGGAATCAACTTAATGGGCAATAACATTTCGGAATTAAGTGATACTGAAGATATAATAAAACTTAATATTGCTGTTGTTATGTATCAGAAGATGTTTGACAATTTAGACCCAAAGCACTTTAGATTAATTATAGATATCAATTACAAATATCCAGCAATAATCATTCAAGGAAATATCATTTGGAATGGAAATGAATTTCTTAAAATGTATTTGTCTTCATTAGAAAAGACAAATGTGGATATTGACAAATATCAGCAAAATTATCTCAAGCAAAGAGTCAATGAGCTGCAAAAAGAGACACTGCATTACACAAGTCAGGTATGGTGTTGAATTAATGTAGATTTTTTTTTTATAGACTATTAAGATGTAATTATTACTTCCAGGTTCTTCTTTGGATTCTCCAAATCCATCAACAAGCTAAATACGGCAACAACAATTTAAATGAAGCTATGCTACAATCTCGTTGCGAATTATATTTTCAAGGTCTAACTTTAGCCGGTGAAATGAATTTTCTAATTAAGTCCCTTGTCAATTTGCATGCAAAGTTTGGACAGTTGCTGTCAAAACAAGTTGTTTCAGCTATATATAAATTGATAGAAAACTTGAGGCTAATTAAATCAACATATGAAGATAAGTCAATCTTTATTGTTGATTCGATTGCATTTGTTTTTCAATATTTGCAATTTCATGCATTAAATGTTGTGGGATTATGTAAGAAGAAGGTCATGATGGAAGGGAAAAAAGAGAGGAAATTTGATTTATCAACAACTTTGGTGCTCGTTGAAAAACTTTTGTACGGAACTGTCTCGATAAATAATTTGAGTGCAATTGGATTATCTTTAAACTTGACTGAACCTTTTAAAGATTTCGGTAATGAGTATCCAATCAGATTGTTGAAGTTACTTGATCACATGATGAATTTATGTCGCTTAGAAGAGAATATAGAAAAAGTTTGTGATAGTACATTCCTGTTCTGGCATCAAAATCTCATTGATTCGAATTTTAAGCAACAGCTGGAAGCATCAATCGATGAGAGAAGAATCAATTTAATGTTTGAATCTATCGATGATTGTTTAAAGAACTGCAATTATGAGCAAATGGATAATGTGAAGAATTTCCATCCATTTGTGGAAAGCAATTTTACTGAAAATGTCATTCGAAAACTTTGTAACTCAATCGAAATTAATTTGAGACTAGATTTTCATTCAAATCTACAAGTTGAAAAGTTCAATCCATTTGATACAAATAGCAAAATAATTATAGAAGATCATCGTGAATTAATAAAATTAAAGCCAGCAGTTATTAATCATGAATATGTTTCGGTTCAGGATGATGTGGAATTTTATTTAAGCAAAATGTTTTATAATCTGACAACAATCTCGCTCAAGGATTGGAGAACTTATGAAGAAATGAGGAGATTAGCGCAAACGAAATATCTTTTATATACTGTTGATGACCATTTGCCAACACAAACATTAGACCAAGGAATTGATGTATTACAAATTATGAGAAATATTCACCTTTTCGTGTTGCGTTTTACTTACAATTTAAATAATCAAATTTTTGTTGAATCACTTGCAAATAATAATCAGCATTTTAATACAATTGGAATTAAGAACATTGCAAATTCACTTTCGACCCATGGATTTGGAATTATCAATACGACAATTAATTTTGTATATCAATTTTTAAGGAAGAAGCTCTCGATTTTCTCGCAAGTTATTTATGATGAGAAAATCAAGTCTCGACTATCGCGTGAAATGAAAATTCTTCGTGAAAATATTGCAATAGATAAAAATAGTGAAGTTTATAGCTTTGATCGAGCTCATGCACTTCATGATTATATTAAAAATTTGGAATCATTTGAAGGAAATCAAACATTAATGGACAAAATTCGGACTTTAATTTCAACAATTGGAAATGCTCTTGGCTATATTCGAATGATAAAAAGTGGAATCAATCATGTGAATTCTAATTCAATTTCATTTATTCCCAAAACATTGTCTGACGATGAACAATTGGAATTAATGAACATGTGCCAGAATAGCAATTTGAGTCAACATACTGTTGATGCTTCAAAATATCTCGAAAAAGATGTTGCACAGGCAACGAAGAAAATTGCTGAGGGATCCCTTTATTTTAAGGTGAATTACTATTGATCTTTTAAAAATCCATTTAGCACCCCTGAATTCCTAAAATCCAGTTTCGCATTAATCATGCAAAAAACTGACAAAAAATGTTTTTTTCTTTGTGCTCCTTTCAGATGTTAATTTCAACCTTTTCACCATATTTTCGAAATCCAAAGAACGCTCACCTTAAGAATTTCTACATTTTTATACCGGCTTTGACAATCAATTATATTAAATACATCCTCAAGTCAAAAGATCGTTTAAAGAAGAATCAAGATGAAATTGTCTTTACGGATGATGGATTTAGTATGGGATTAGTGTATATCCTCCGACTGCTAGATCAACTATCAGAATATAGTTCATTAAATTGGACCCGAACAATTAGAAGTAAAATAAAGGCTGATAAGGAGAAAATACTAAAGCAAAGGCAAGAGCTCGAGAAAGCTAATAAAAATAACGATGAAAAATTATTGCAGACACTTCTACTCAGCGAGATGAGAATAAATGCCTTTCAGACAGAATTTGAATTGCTTTTGTACAACATTAATAGTTGTAAAATTTTCTTTCAAAGCTAGAAAAGCAAACAATTTGCGCGAGTCAACGCACCGTTTAGTTATTGTGCCTTTTCATTCAACGCTTCAAATTCCAAGTTGATTCAGTTTTTTTATTTCTAATAAAATTATAAATTTGTTTTCCTAAAATGCTTGATTATAAAATTAGCTTATCAGTTTTCGGGAATATTTTGACTCAAGGGAAACTTTTGGAATTAAATACACACTTTAACTTACTGACTACTTCATTATGTGTCGCTTAAACTAATAGATACGTAAATGGTTCCAGTGATAAAATAGGAAACTCTAGTCCTAAGTCTAAAATTTGGGCGTTTTGATTGTAAAACCTCACATTATTTGCCATACCTGATTACCAAAATTTTAAACTAAATCAGGCACAACTTTCTGCAGTTTTCAGAAAATAGACTTGAACATTTTCTAAATATTCAATTAAGATTTTAATAAGTCACAATTTTTTTTCGAAAACTTCTTTGTTTCTTAAGTGCTGGATTACACGTTTGATTCTCAGAAACACCTAATCGAAATGAGGAAAAAATCCCTTTACGTTTTTAACATTTCCTACCAACGCACATAGAAAATTTATAAAGCTGGCTGAGTTTCCAAATCTATAAGTGGAATATTTTAAGGTAGGGAATGAATTCTGAAATCCCAAAGAAGAGTCCAAAAAAAAAACGAGAATCAACAAAAGAATTTGGCATGTGATATGTTGGAATAAAAGGCATATTAAGTTATTTTGGATATTCAAATTCTGTCGATTATATTAAAAACCAAAAACAACAATGTTCGATGAAAACAGCAATAAAAATTAAGAATAAGAATAAATCCAATGGTCAAGGACAGATGGAACAATCTGATCGAGTGATTCATAGAGAAAATATATAATGAATCTTCTCTGTGGATCATTTACATATGATATCAATTGAAAATTGGAGATCTTATAAAATTTAAATAAGTATGTCATATAGCTCCTCCCTTCCTTAATTGTTTGACGTCACAAGTGAACGACCTTATTAAAATATATATAATTATCCCATAATTATATCCCAAAGTTGTATAGGTATTACAATAAAGTGCATGTTTAAATGACACAAATGTGATATTTTTTTCTTTGCGACAAATTATCAGCATATAGCATGGCGTACTCCTTAGGAATGAGTCACAGATATTAATTTAATAAAAAATAATTAAATACAATCAGGCGCCTTGCTCGATTATTTTTTGGAAATACTCACATTCTGGTTTGCGAAAGAAACGAACTGTATAAAACAACATTTTTATGCACTGACGTCGTTCCCTTATGTGCTGATTGTCTTGAAAGCATGTGCCATGAATTTGTCAAAAAATATATTGTTTAGGTTATTTTAAGTTTAAATATAAGCACAATAATTTAGGATAGTTATGGATGATTTTTTCCATCATGTGACTTGGGATGCTTGTATTTTATTTCACGTTTTATTGGGATAGTCTTAATGATCTACCTGATCTCTAGAAACGTTAAGTATCTTCTCGCAGTTACACGCTTAATAATCTAGGGTTGAGAAAAAATTTCAAAAATTTTCAGGGATTTTGTAGATTTTACTTAATTTTAAAATTGAAATACACTTTGGCGTTTATATAAAATTCAAATGGGACTGATTAGCCTTAGATATACACCCAAGGATTTATAAGTTGTAATAGCAAACTATAGACATAAACTAAAATTGGGACTTACAGGTGGAATAAGTAAGTATTCAGTGTCATTTAGATTAACTTATGTCTTTATAATATTTAATACTCAAAAGGCTTGCCATAACGTTCATTTGAGACTTGAACAATATTCATTGTATCATAGTTGTTTACCCCTTTTTACCACACGCTTTCTACAAGATAAACCATATCATGGAACCTAAGAATGAAGCCATTAAAATATTCCTAAGAATCACCCCTAAACTCTTAAAATAACCTGCAGTAACCTGTGATTTTTAATATTAAACAAATAGCTTAGCATTTGAGGTGGGAGGGGGGGTTTGAAAAATTGTAACAAAATGTAACATAGGGGGGGGGGGGGGGGTCAAGAAGTATGTAACGTTCAAACTGTCGTCTTTTAAAAGAAATTCACACCAAAAACAGTTCTTTAAATTTTCCACCTTTCTATCAAAATAAAATAAATTATGAACGTTCGGGGAGGGGGGGGGGGGGGGGGGTGAAAAAATCAGTTTTTTTGCGTAACGTAATAAGTGAACGGCAACTTAATTTGTGAATAGATTTCTCAAACCCAACTCACCTGTTCAGCGTCTCCTTGTCAGTTTTAAGCAACACGTTTATTCGCACATAAACAATAAAACGAGAGAGAAAAAAAAAAAACGAGTTGTAGTCGATGAATCACAGCATCAATCCATTAAGGAGCCATTGTAAGTTTAGCTTGCTCAGCGCAAAAATGAAAATGTCTTAAGCCGGTTGAATTGTTGAGTCGAATAATCAACCAAAACAGAAGAGAGTGGTCTTGTGGGGATTCCCATCTCTAAAATGTCCGCATGATGAGCCGATTTAAGTTTTTATTACAAACTAAAAATACTCTACCTTGTTGTATAGATTCAAAAATATTCAACGAACGTCAAAAAAAAAATATCTTATAGCCGAAAATGATAAAAAAATAAATGTATGTTGTTTTATTAAAGCTGTGAGCACTACACACAGCGTCAGAATTATAATAGGAAAAATAAATAAGAGTTCGATTCATACACATATTTGCTCACTTGTATCGCTATAGTGTGGATGATGATGTCTGCGAAAAGATCGGATCTTTTGAATGTCGTGGCGTGTAAAACAAAAAATATTTTATTAGAAAAAAATGTTCTTCAGTTCAGTTCTTTTGCAAATTGGCAACAATCAAGACACTTTTTTGAGTATTGATTTTTTTTTATCATTTTGGAGATTAAAAATATTTTTTCTTATCAAAAAAAATTCAAGTGAAGATTCTGAGAAAAGATTGAAGCTTAAGTTTGAGAATTTTCAAAATTTTTGAATGAAAGTTTTTTTTTGGGAAATTTTCTTTTATCTCCGTTCATTGAGTGGGACAAAAAAAGGGAAAATCTGCGCATTAATTTTCCTAACGAGTGAATCTTAATTATTTTTTGTGTCTAATCTCTCTCCTCAAAATAAAAGAGGTGAATGAATAAGAAGAGAATAGAATGAATAAGTTTATATCGCGATACAATCACAAAAAGAATTAATAAAGTGTGATATCTCTTTTTTTCTCGCTTGTGCTGTTATGTATTGTGGACTATACAAGCTCAAATCAAACTTAATTAATTGTGTAAATATCACAAAACAATTTAATTGATTGAAATTGATTTGTTTTCTTACAAATTCTACGTTATTGCCTCAAACAAAACTGTCAAAGTTAGCGGCACTATTTCGTGGAATCATCATTGTTTGCTAGTTAAATAAATACAGTGGCAGTTTGATATTTTGGTTATGTATGATGCCTCTTTTATGACGTAATCATTAAATAAACTGGAAAATGAATGATAGTGGCTTTAACTCCGGGGCTGAGATGAACATTGACAATATTTTCTTTTACGAGGACAATTCGACACATTCATCGCAAGACAACATGCCAATTGCATTCAATAACAATAATAATAATGTAAATATCAACAGCAATAACAATAATGAGGATGATCAGGCAATTTCGATGGATACAAATGATCAAGGTGACTCGTCGTTGTTTGTAAATGCAGTTAATATACCAAAGCAGAAACGCATTAAAGATTCAAAATTAACGCAAATTCAAGTCAGCGTTGGAATCGATGAGGATTTAAAAATGATCCTCGATCTTGATCCAACTCTCATTGATGGCGTTGATCTCGAAAAAGCTGTTGAGCCGGCAGTTCATAATGACGCGAGACTAACATCATTACCACCTAAAATGTGAGTAGAAAAGGAAATTTTTCTTTTTGTTTGTTGCTAGCCAAACTGCAATAAGTTGAAGATGTTTTCGTGATTTGAGAAGATTTTGAGCGCATTTTAATTGTTTTGAAAAAAGTTTGAACGAGGGAAACTCGTGGGTGCTGTTGTAGATGTATGTGTTGGCTCTACATGTGCTCAGAAATTCGTCACAATGATTTATTTTTTTGTAGATAGAAGATAGCAAGAGATAGTATGACATTACGTAGATTTAAAACAAAATATCTTAATGTTGTTAACGATTTGTGGATAAAAGGCTTTTATAGCTTGATGGAAGTGTCAAAGCAAAGTTTATGATCGGGAGATTAGAGATCATATGTTTATGCTTGCTAGACTTTGTTGTGATTTATAAGAGATTTCATTTAAACCTTTTAAAATTTTAAACCTCCTGAATGATTAACGTCATAAGGGGCCGTTCACTTATTACGTAAAGCTTTTAGGGGAGGGGGGGGGTCTAAAATTTTATAACAGTTCAAACAAAAGAAATTTTTTTCATACAAATTTTGTTACGAGACTAAAATGTCGTTTTCGTTAAACGGCCCCTAAGTGAATAACCCTTAAATATTTCTAAAAGTATAGATCTTCAATAGGTCCCTTTAAAAAATACATGATACAACTGACTGTATTATACTCATTGAATGAAATTTATTGTTCGACAGAAAATTTTCTATCGCGCGTGGTAAAAAAAGGTGTAATCTTAGGCCATGTGTCGATGCTTGTCATGTATCGATAATTTTGACAGGAAGACAGCAATTGTTTTGGTGACTAAGAAATTGCATAATTCAGTGTTTAATATTTTTAAAGATTTATGCCAATAGAATCAATTGGTTGTCCACAAATCTTAATACAGAGTAAGCATTCTTTCATTCTTGTTCTACAGACTCCTTACAAAAGTTCATAGAACCTTCAGAAATCAGCCACAATTTATAAAAATTCTCTTCATTTTACTGGCTTACAGTTATGCAATCATAATTTTCGAAATTACTTAATAAAATGCTCAAAATATATCTGGAATTTGAACTGCGTATTTTTTCCGTGCCAAAATAAAATTGCGCCTTAGGTTTGATTACCTTGAATCTATCATGATAGTGTCAAATGGGAGAAAAAACATAGCGCCCAATCAAATATTACATTAAAGTGTATGTTGTTCATGTTATCAAATATTCGGTTCCAATTTTATCCTGTAAGTTATGATCTCTTTAGTTCTAAGTATATTTTAGTGCCAAACAATATTGAGAAGATTAGCCATGTAGGTTTCAGATATTCTTTTTTGGAAATTTCCATTGTATTATTATTTTTTATGGTTATTAGCTTCAGATTTCATCAATTTATGAAATATTACAAAAGCTAGTTTGAATTTTATTAGATATTATATATAAATATCCATTTGACAATTAACTAGTGTCTAGCCTCTTTTTTCTTCCTACCCACAAGTTCAATTTAACAAGGTAGACAGTCAAAAGTGAGAATTTGTCACATCCTCACATTGAAATGAATGCGCCAAAAAGTGATGAGACTTTTTTTGAACTAGAACTTGAAAATAATGAAAATTTATTTATATTTTCTTCACTCGTGTGAATCATATGTTCACGAATCTACATCTGTATATCTATTTGTAACACCACATTCATGTGTATTAGAAGAAGAAAAAAAAATTGAACTGAATAAGTAAATACCTCACTTTTATCTTTAAAGTGAAGACGAAATGCTGACGAAGCTCTACGAAAAAAATAAATTTCTTTATACAATTTTTTTTTTGAAAATTCTTTTACGATGGAAATACATTTTATTTTCGATATGGCACGTTTAAGGTCCATACAGGCATATGGGATATGAAATAAAAAATTATAATTTAAGCTTTTTATGGTTGTGTATGGCTTTAGAAAAATGTAGGACTCTCGTTTTCTTTAGAAATACGACAATATTTTCTTCTGACGCATCACATGTGTGTTGTTGGAGTTGACTATTTAGGACAGAAATGTTGTTAATTATTTTATTTGTTTGTGGGATCTACAATGGTTAAGAGAAATTTTAAAAAACAGAATAATTAAAAATTCAATTCATTTTACTAAAGAGCTTAGTCTTATCAAAACTTTGTTGGATTGACATTAGAAAGAAATCATAAAATTATTAAATAAATGGAATTTTCAAAATTTGAGGAAATCAAATTAATTAAGGATTGGTTCATTTAGATCAGTGTTGTCCAAACTGTGTGGCGACTGCACAACAAACTTTAAATAATAATGGTTTAGATGAAAAGCTCAAAAATGATGTCACAGCTTGAAAAATATGATTTCATTTAAAAAATAAAAAAAAAAAATTAGACTCACTTCAACCTTGCTACAATTTAAGTATGATATTTAACCTTTTTCAAATTTTCGGAACAACCTTCCTTCTAAGAAACGATCGTAATAAGTGAACGACCCCACAAAAAATTCCATTTTTTTATCCTTCTATCAAAGAATGCTAATTGTTGCTGAATCTCACACTTTATTGCCTTTTTATTACTGCGTGCCAGATAATTTATTTCTTAGACTCGTGCAACAAACACGTTTTGGAATAAAAATGACTCGGAATATAAATGCACGGTTTAACATTGTTTATTAGTCATAATTCAATAATTTAATTCTATCAATTAACAATAAAACTTTTTTTTTATCAGTTTCAAAGCGCCATAATATTGATGCTATAAAATTAATATTCAATAGCTTTTGTGAACTTCTTATTATCATATTAATTGGATTAACTGGATGATATAGATAATAAATAATTATTTCATAAATCAAAGCTCAGTGTTTTGATCCAAAAAAAAAAATTGCTGTTTTATGGAATCAAGAAAGATTTTAAGGGAATGTTCATAAATAACGTCCGAAAAAAACTGTAATTTTTCAAACACAAACAATCAAATTCGAATAAATTCTATTCTTCTAGATTTCTTACCCCCCCCCCCCCCTCCCCTCCCGTCTCTCCCTTTTGACATCATTTATGAATTGTTTTTGGAAGAACGTCTCCTACAAAATCTTAGATCCTCGCTCTAAATGAGGAACATTATGATAGACGTCATGATTAAATAACTCCTTACATGGCAATAATCAAAACGCCAAGATTTTAAGGGTTAGAGGTTATTCTATGGTACGAAAGTAATTATAGTAATGTTATTGATGAGTAATCCACAAAAGTTAAGTGAAGAGAGCATTAAAATAAAATTCATTGAGTTTCAAAACAAACCAAAAAGAGAGGAAATACCTACCCAATAAAATAGATTATTTTCTATGACTTTTTATTGAATTGATATCGGCTGATAAGAGTCACATTTTTCACATTAGCCCTTATAAAAATGTCAGCATTAATAATAAAAAATCACCACTTTTCAATTATTTTTAATTGATTAAGTCTCACTAATATTATCGAATAAATCAAAATGTACAAAACAAATACCGTTGATTGTACAAATGTAAACAATGATTTATGATGCAAAAAGTTCAATGAAATTCCTTGTGTTTGATGATATCAACTGTATTATGATAGATCGTGTCCCATCAAAACTATCGCGTATTAAGCGGAATTAAGAAAAAAAAAAGTTGACAAGAAGGTGCACACGCAGGCAAATTTTGTAAACGAGAAGTAACACCAAAAAATAAGAAGATGTATTTTTGTGCACAAAAAGACGATTAATTCTATGCAAATCCTGTAAACCTCGAAGACATCTTCGTTGAAAAGTTGTTTTGGGCGAGAAGAGAAGAAATAAATTTTTTTTGTGTTATTTTTTCCTCCAAACAGTCCAACATTTAAAACGATAACACCAACATCGCGTACTCAGTTAAAAACATTGCTTCAACGTGAACAGTTGTTGCAGGAGGCTGAGAGGAAAGAAACAGAACGAAAGCTTTTAGAACGAGAGCGAGATCATCACAAGCAAAAACAAGAATCACAAAAAGTGCCATTACAAGTTGATGTTCCTCCACAAATTTTACAGGTCTGCAAATTTATTATTTGTTGTGGAAATTTAATTGATGCCTGAATTTTTAATCCATTTAGGTTCGAACGCAGCTTTCAAATCCTACAAAATACCATGTGATACAAAAACAAAAGAATCAAGTCAGAGAATATTTAAGTGAAAGTTTCAAATCGTCAGACACGTTACATAATCTAATTCCATATCCAGTGCTGCAGCATAACAATATAAACGGAAATTCACTCATTGCATCTAAATCACAACCAGCAACGACGTGTAATTCACCAGGTGTGAAACCAAATGTCAATTCTAAACTACTTAATCACGTAAAGAACAATAATCTATTAAGTCACAGTGCAAATGAAATGTTGCATGTACAAAGCCTCGACTATTCATCAGGACAATCGGCATCGAACAATAGTTTTCCATTTGTATTACAACAACATCGATACATTGCAGCAGCTAGTCCGCAATCTGCTATGTCACCTTCCATCAGCTCAGTGGCAACGAGTGTAACAAGTGCATCTGAGGTGAGTCGATTTTGTACTCGGATGGGATTTTTGTTTTGATTTTTTATCTTTTGTGGATATACTGGATGATTAGATAACCGTAATTTTTATTGTCTTATTTCAAAAACACGCCACACTTATCAGATTTATTTTTCGGTAGGATTAAATTGTTGCCTTATCTGACAATTTTTAATTAAATCGTATTTCTATTCCATTTTTAAGTTTTTTTTATGCGCTATACTTTTTAATGAATGAAATTTATATAATTTATTTCCGTGTGTTGAAATCAAATGCGCCAAAAAAAAATTTGATAATTAATTTTAAGGTTTCTTTTGAACACAAATGAGTTATCCTATTCTCACTTGTCATGCCTTGAACGAAGAGGGTTTGGTTTTAATTAAATAATTTCTTTGGAATTTAAAATTCACTTGACCCAGGAAGATACCCAAGCACTGCCTATTGCTAATTTTATTAATGTTTTTTACTTTTAAATATTGATAAAGTATGAAAAATGAAATGACTTTGCATTTATAAATTAGTTCCGAATTTTTATAGTGATTGCATATACTGCATTAAATTTCCTTGAATATTAATTAACACCTTCTAATTTAGGAATTAAAGTAGGAACTTATCACTTATCGTAATGTTGATAAATTAAAAATTTAAAAGAACAAGTAGAAATAATAACAATTCATAATCGTATTCAAGGTCAAGCTATTACTATTAATAAGAGATGTTAAATAAACCATGAAATCTTCAAAATAGTTAAGTGTTTTGTCACAATTCAAATTCGACTTTCAATTTGCTTATTTATGTGGGAAATCATTGATCCGAAATATGATTTGTTAATAACTTAGTAGAACTAATGAGTCATTTAGTAGAATTTCTAAAATCAATTTATTCCAAATAATTCGCACAAGATCAACAAAACTAAAGCTTTGACATTCTCCTTGTAAGATCTTTCAATCATATCAGGCACATTACTTCACCGTAACTGTAATCTAGCCATCCATTTATCTTATATTTTGATGATTTATGTGAGAAAGCTGATTTCATCAAGATGACATCGTCCTTGAAAGATTGAAAGTTGTCGGCTATAAAATCTTCCGTAATAAGACTTGAAGTATTTTTAAGTCTGTGAATTAAAGCGTTAGAAAGAAGAACGTTAAGTATTATTGAATGGATTAACTATTTATATCTTTATATATCTTGTGCGTATTTTATGAGGCACTAAAAGAAGCAAGGCATTAGAAATTAAAACAGTCGCTCAGGTTATATATTGTTTTTGTAGGGCAATAATTTTGAATGTTTTGATCTTATTCACATAAAATGTTTTGTTTTAGTCTACACGTGGCTATTTATGCTATGTAAAAAGTATGTTGTGCTAAATATTTTGTTTAAAAATACTTCCTACTATTTTCTTAAGTAGCCATTAGTCTAATGATTCTTAAAATGTTTATTTACAATCTCAATGACTTTGAAAAATCATCAACCTTAGTTTCAGTAAAAGCGCATTAGAGTTGACATTTTATATTTGACATAATTTATTTCGAATATTTATGGTTTTAAAAAATATTCATGCATGACTATGCCGACAAATTGTGTAGCCTGAAAACTGATATGATCATTGACATATAACTACATGATATCCTACACTATCCGAAAAAAATATAAATGTGCAGATTTCATAAATAAAAAAAAATAAAATATTTTCCTATAAAACAATTTATTATCGGTAGATGATAAATGCATCTATATGATGCATACACCCAGAAGCTAATGCCAAAAAACGAACACATCGATTAATAAGAATTCGGATGGAATTTTTCTAAATATCATTTTGAAATGAAATTCTTAAAACTTTAAAGTTGACATTTTTAAATCTAAACTCGATTGGCATACAATTGAATGTTGTCTACATGATGGCTAAGTGTATAAAACAGCAACTTAAATCATGAATACGGAATGCAACTTTATCTTCAGGAAAAGACAATAAGAATTTTCAACAACAACATCTTAGCGACAAAATCATGAAGGTCGATGAATAAGAAGGAGGATTTCAACGAAAAGCTCTTTTTTATGACTTGTTGTTGCATACGGCAAACAGTCATAGCATCAAAACATTATAACGCGGTATTTGTAGCGGATTAGATTGTTGGTAATTGAATTAAACGCTTTGAAAAATGAGCTTTAAATGCTGCAAACTTGACATTCCTGTTAACGCAGAAAGAAGCTTTTATTGATTTAGGATGACACATGAAAGGAAATTAATTAATCGGATTATGATTCTAATTTTATAAATTACTTGACTGATCTTTCATAATTATGTAAAGTTCAAAAGGATGATTAAAAGTTGTTAAAGGAATTATTAGGAAGTTTGATGTTGGCATAGACTGATACAAATTAATTTGATGTAATTAGGAATGGATTTATAATTAAGAAGGTTTATTTGCTTTGAGGTATCAAGCTCCTAATTAATTTGTTTGAGTTAAAGCTCTGAGAAATTCGCGAGGTTGAGATGCTTTAAAGATGTGGACTGTAAGAATGACTTTAGTTTTGAGAAATGCGGGTTGAAATTGACAATAATGCCGGAATCTAAAACTACATTTTCCAGTGACTTTCTTAACTTTAATAAATCAAATTATTGATTATTTACTGCAAAGTCCTACAATAACTTTCATTTCCTTTTTAAAAATTTCCACCCAAGGCTGATGACTACATCGATGAGATTTTAAACTATGATTCAATACCCGATGCAATTAAATATGAAATAAATTCAGTGACTGATGCAAAGATTAAACAAGAGCCGCATCTTTCGGTATCAGAAACTGACAAAGATAGACAAAAGAAGGATAATCATAATATGAGTAAGTGATTTATTTGCCTTGCTGCTTTCCTTAAAAAAATATAATAAATAAATTTTCTTTCTACCTCCTTAAGTTGAGCGACGACGAAGATTTAATATAAATGATCGAATTAAGGAGCTTGGTACGTTGTTGCCAAAAAGTAATGAATCATACTACGAAATCGTTAGAGATGTTCGACCAAACAAAGGAACGATACTTAAATCATCTGTTGATTATATCAAGTGCCTCAAACAAGAAATTAATCGATTGAGAAAGACTGAGCTTAAACAAAGGCAGATGGAAATGGAGAATAAAAAGCTGCTGATGAGAATACAAGTAAGGAATTAGTTAAGATTTGTGGAAATGAATGAGTGGGAAGTAATGACTGGAGCTTTTCATGGTAAAAGTGATATATTTTCAGTCTTAATTGCCATTTTTCTTTGTGGTGAACTAAAAAAAGCTTATTAAGACTAATTATAGGAAATTTATTGAGGTTAAAACCTTAAATCCTTAATCGAATTAGTCAGTTGTCACCTTTAAGGTCAACTTCCATAATTCACATTCTTAAGAAATACTTTGTTCATAAATAAATTATTTGCCATTTTAGGAACTAGAAATCGAGGCAAGAAACAACAACAATAATAATAATAATAATAACAATAATATTCAATGCGGAAGCAACAGTTTTCCATCATTAAGTAGTATGTCAGCTCAACTTCTCGGTGAATATTCGCCCGATCCGAGTAATGTAAGAGAAAATAAAAAATTCAATAGCATAGAAATTGTCACAATAAATCATAATTTTCTTCCTTTAATCTTCTCGAGCAGCAAATCCCCGATGTCATAAGTAATGTTCAAACAATGAGCCTTAATCATGCAGCAAAAAGCTATGGGGACGATGAAAGTGTCTCAATAAAGAATGAGGAATCGATGTATAATCAATGTAATGGCAGTGATAATTTCATGCAACAAAATCATTTAATGTACGACTCAGTGCTTACAAATAAGCAAAATTCAACAGTCGATATGACTCAAATTGATCCGATTATTATCAACTATGGATTGCTGTCAATGCATCGTGATAATATAAGTAGTACAGCTGATAGCGGAAATCCTGATTCGATTCTACATCCTTCAGATTCAGACTCACTTCTTAGTGATATTGACATGATGTCGTGAAAATTACTAAAAGTTTTTGTGGTTGTTAGTTGAGTAAGTGATGGATGTGGAAAACCGACTTGTGAGGTTTTGAAAATCTCGTAACAAGTTTTTTTGGACAATTATTGCCATAAGAAGTTATCACTTATCTTACGTGTAGTGCTTAAACAAACTAGAAATAATCAGATCTAAATGTTATGATTTTAAAATTTGTCAATGAAAAAAAAATAAATAAATACATTATTAGATAAGTAAATAGTCGACACTAAGAAGTAGTTAAGTGTTGACTGATAGTGCAAAAAAATGACTCTTACATTTATAGTCTTAGACATTTAAAGTCACGATTGACTCATCACGTATAACAAATGATAAGATAAGCTTATTAATAAAGGTCCAAATTTATCTCAAATTACAAGTCAGACGTGTGAATATTTTCATGATATTGTGAAATATAAAGCAATAAAGTTTGAACACGTGAGATATTTTTTTGTTCTTCTAGTTTGTAATATCGAAAAAGTTCATTGATAAAATTTTTTTATCCCAGATAATTTAAGAGTTTGAAAAATTGGCAGAATCTAGCCAATTTACAGTTAGGTTTCTGAGTGAATGATGAAGCATATTCTCAATTAGTGATTATTATTGAGTTTAGAGATTCTTGTTGGAAAATGATTTTCAATTCGAATCATTGTGTGAAGATTTTTGGGATAAAAAAATTAGGAAAAAAACTCGTTTTAACAAAATTTGCTCTTTTATTTAAAAAATAATTATTATTAAGATTCTTTTGCTAGACTAGAAACTAAAATCAAAACAAAAATGACGTGAATATGTGAATTAAATAGAAATTTTACATAAATTTAGTTAAATTTTACTTGATATTTACTAAGTGCAATTATTCAAAAATAAGCGATCCATAAATAAATCGACAGATGTATGACAGTTATGTGGTTTGCAGCTATTACGATGTATTCTATTTATGTCGACTAATAGATGCCTTTGTTTCGCTAGAGTTATCTAATTATAGAATTCGTGATGTTGAATTTTATTAATTTTGTAAGGTCTTTTGAAAAGACATTTTTCTGTTGAACAGAATTAAATTAAGGCAGGATGTGAGAAGCATTTGATGATGGTGGTGCGATTATTTAATGTATTATTTGAATAAAACTTTTGATCACAAATTTGCATTTGAGTTTTTATTTATTTTGTGAAGTCTGATTAATGAATCTTTTTTGAGCATATATAAAGCATATTTAGATTTTTTTACAGATAGTCGAATGCGTAGAGTTCTATAATTAAACTGAAAATCCAATTATTATCATCGTTTTCTTAAAACTCTGAAAAACTAAAACAAATCACTTTTAAAATGTTTTAAAACTCTGGAAACTGAATCAATTCAAGAAACTGAATCAAACAAGAAGTTTTTTAAATCATTTTTAATTATTTATAATTTTTTATTTCTTTTCTTTCATCATTATATCACATTGAGCTGAAAGCATTATGTATACATCAATTTATTACGATTTTTCTCATTTTTTATTCTTTTTAATTAATTTACTTAACTTAAATTTTCTTTAAATTTCATCTTAAACCATTTTCATCATTCAAAAAACAAGAAACCAACGAAGAAGGAAAGAGTAAATAAATAGAATTGGCAGTAAGTAAGTACAATGATTATGATATAGATTTCTTCTCATTTTGTTTTTATAAAAAGGGAATTTAAAATTTTATAGGCAAGAATTAAGTCAGTTTTTTGTCTCTATATAAGTTTTTTTCTTTATCTTTTTTCCCTATAACATTCAAATTTATTTACTTATACCAATAATTTCATATTTCAATATTTACAAAATGAAGTTTTAACTTTTTTTATTTTTTTTTTGACTTTTTCTTTACTTACTTTTGTTGTTCGATTAACAAGTGAGTTCGATGTGTAAAATTTTTAATTATTTTACGAGCTAGACTTTATTTACAGATTTGGATACAGTTTTATCAAATATAATCATAAAGAAGTTTTTAAAGAGATTGAGGCTTATATTGAGATGAATTATTCTGTCATTTGTGCAAATGAATCTTTAGACTTGAATTTCGTTGAGTTTAAACTTATTCCTTTCAAAAAAGTTAAATTCCACAAAGAACACGATCTGAACTTGATAATTCAAGAGACATTAAGCTCAGATCAAGATTGTTGTAGATTAGGTTTTAGTGAACGAAACCAATTCTGATTAACAATAAAAACATTGCTAATTGGTCATGATCAATAGCTCAAAAGGCTAGAAACATCTTTCGTACCTGAGCTTATAAAGTTTAAAACAATAAACCAACTTAACCAATTGTATTTCAATTCAAAAAATCAAAAACTATTTTGATTCAAACTGAAATTGGATTCAAATTGATAAATATCAAAAATAACAAATAACTTGATAAATCATTCAAAAACAAGCCTCAATCCTTATTCTATACATATTTTCATTTTAAATTCAAGAAACAATTCAATTTCTCGGAAGATGATGAATAAAATGCCAACAGAACTAGAACTATCGTCATTCGAATTTATGAATTTACATAAATGTTTTATACAGTCTATGAACTATGATATGATGAGCTAAGAACCGAAAGTTTTTTTTTATATCCATAACATTACTTATGATTTAACTAAATAAATACATTTCTATTGCCTATTTGTGTATTGTCTACTGTAAACATTACAAACTTTTCTTTAGGTTATAAATTTTACAAGATTTTTCAATTTACAAGAATTCGATAAATTTCTTTATATGTCTGTATAAAATATTGCTAATGAATAGGTTCCTTTCTTTACTTCTCAATCTAAAAAAGATAATTACATGTTTCAAACAAGACTGGACCTAATGATATTTATAATTTTTTTATTGGAGGGGCGATAGTTTTAGGTAAAAAGATTTCTTTAACTAGGTTTGGATATGATCTTATATAAATTAAAAATTTAACTTCTTTTTGATTAGTGCGAGACAGATGATTCTTTTTCAGACAGATAAATGCTGGACTTTTGAGATGATTTTATTCTCAATTTTTTCATCTTAAATGGTTTTAAAGTTTTCAAATGTATTATGAAGCTCATTTTGAATTTCAAGGGTTTATATTAAAGTATGGACATCACTTAAAAGTGGGAAGGAAGGCAGGAGCTTAGCTATTGGGGTTGGTTGGTTTTAGAAGTCATCCAATTCAACCTATTTGAAAATTTTCTTCAATTCGCTAGGGTTTTTGTTCACACAAAGAAAGCCTGTTTCTGGCGATGTCTCTGAATCAGATTAATTTTTAAATATCGAACTCAAGCAATTCTAATCTTTTTTACCTGAGGTAGATATTAAAAGAGCTATTAAAATTCCAATCGAAAAGCATTGACTGTATAATTAAACAGCTGCTTAATATTTAAAGATTTCATTCATTTTCTCAAGATTTTACTCAAATTAACAAGATTTTTCCAATGAGATTTTAAAAAATTTAAAATTATTCATCCAAAATTTCATTCATTTTCTTGCCAAAAATTTAATATTGAAATTTTCCAAAAAATTTAAATACGCTGAAAATGAAACAATTACGTTCCTTTAAAAATATTTATTTAGGTAAATTCAGCTGAAAAATTATTCATGCATATATTAGCCTCTCATTAACCCAAAATCTCAAGAAAGATTCGTATAAAATTTCTAAAATGAGCTTCTTGTTACACAACACTTCAACTTGAGAAGTGAAATTGCGTAGGTGACGATTCACCTTTTTGACAGTTATTTAATTTCAACAAGATTGCTTTATCAAACAAAATACCTCATCATTAAATTTGAGGATTAAGCTTTTCATTTTGATTGTGAAAATGTTATTTTTCGAGACCAGATTACAAAAAAAAATGTGCAAATAAAACCAGCATAAAAGTCTTTTAATCAACACTCATCTGTCATTCAAAAAGGTAGATTATGTTTATTCACCTTAAATTATGCCTATTTAAATTTTTTTATTATAAATCAAGTCAAGTCTTTTTTGCATTTATTTTTCGATGATGAAAATGATATTTTCATTTTGAGTCCTAGAAATTTTTTTATATGCAATTTTCGCAGGAGATTTAATCGCACATGATATAGAATGGAATTTTTCGGTGTCCATAGGATCACTAAATAAGATTAAATTGTTAGAATTCATTCTTACTTGAAATCTTGTGATAGAAACTGTTGACTATCCAGAAATTCCTTTAATTAAATAATTCTTGAAAAAAGAAGAACTTTAAACGCAACTTTCAGGTCCAGGTAAATTATCAGTTAAGATATGATTACGATTTCGACTACGCGTTAGAGTTGAATTAATATTTGATATTGTATTTGCAATTTGATTGGCTAAATTCTTATATTCGACTGTAGGGTCATTAGTAGGATAATCACATCCGGTATATAAATGTTGTTGTTGTTGCTGTTGCGATTGAAGATGATTCGCTGTTTGATCTTTTGAATATTTATAGTCACTATCTGTGTCTGTACAATATCTTCGACTACTGCTGCTACCATCCATTAGTGTCTTGTCGAAGTCAAGAAAACCATCAGAATTTTCTAATAATTCATTGCCTAAATGAAGATTACTTGTATTGTTAGCTACTGATGATGATGTTGCGGCACCATTCGTGCTGCCACTATAAAGATTATTTAAATTATTATAATCTGGTGACATTTTGTGGTGGTGATATCCTGAATTGGAAATGTTTGATGTACCAGATGTTGAATTATAACTGACTGTATAATTTAGGGGTGTTTCAAAATCATTCATCATTGTTGAACAATATGACGGCGGCTGTGCTGCACTGTAATTGCTTGCTATTGTTTGATTAAGTGCCATATAGCCTTTACTGCCATTATCATTATACTTTAATGTGCTATGATGACTTGGTGGTGTTGAATGCTGCTGCTCATTCGATTTCATATTTTTCGATGATGATGATGATGACAATGTCGCTGAGAATAGACCATCCGGCTTCATAACAGCCGGTGATCCCATTTTATGTACAGAATCGATGCTATCTTGTGATTTTTGTGCGTTAAGTATGTCTGGTTGCTTCTCCGTTCCTTGCTTTAATGTATATGCCACAACATACTTTTGCTGACCAACATTCATTTCTAATGGGGTTGTCACTGTTAAATCCATACCTGAAATCAATTAATTAATGCCCAAAATTGTTAATCATTTTCAATTAAAAATCTTGAAATTTTTTTCATCAAAGGAAAACTTATAAATTGAAATAAAAAAAATATCCCTCTTACCTATGTGCTTCTCTTTAATTCCATTATCATGTGTCTGTACTTGTTCACGATTTTTACGCAACGCAATAAAGACAATTAAAAGCACTGCAAGTCCAATTGTCAAAAGAGCTCCAGTGAATAATGCTGCAACTGGAAACAATCCACTCTCGTCTCCGCTATCTGCAATAAATAAATAAGGCCATATACGAAAATCAGACGTGGACATAAAAAAAATGAAATTTTCATTATTCCGTCAGTCACACAAATGCACTTCAAATCAACAATTTTAGTTTTGTGTGTATTTTGTTTGGTTGGAAATAATATGTGATATGTGCAGCTACATTCATACTTGAAAATAATGAAATGGCGAGAGTTAAGAGATTTAAAATAAATTTAAAATAAATCGTTCACTTATGACGTCCATCAAAAAACCTGATTTTTAGACCCCCCTCCCCCCATCTGTCACAAAAATTCTATAGAAAAAAATTTCCATTGTTTGAACTGTCACAAAATCCTAGACCCCCCCCCCCCCCCCCCTAAATGTCAGACGTCATAAGTGAACGGCCCCTATGGGTCGTTGGTTTTTATAAAATTTTCTGGTATCAAGCAAATCATGAACTTATGATTTGTAATACAAGAAAACGAGAAAAAAGCAATACCACAATAATTTTTAGAGATTCTTAAACTTCCCAAAAGTTACTTGATATGGCCTAGGCACCCTGAAACGCTGGCAATTAATTCACAATTAAAATTTATAGAATTTGTCGTTCCATTTGCATTTACATGTCAAAACTATGTTTCACAATACAAAACATTTATAACGAGATGTATGACATAATAAAGATTTATGTGCCAACTGGAATTGAGATGGGGATTTTTGGAATGATTGAGGAGAAGATGAAAAAATTTTTACGACTAATTACGAAAAAGCTTCAAATTGTTTGATTAAATGTTTTCCATCTTATTAATAATCAAGGGATGGTAGCTTTTAGAATCAGGTTTGTGAAAGTTGTTAAGGTTTTCACTCGGAAAATATTCAAAGGATGGCAGGGAAGCTATTAAGCACATCTTGCAAATCAAAGCTTCTCTATTTGATGAAGTAGGTCCAAAGTTGTACCTTTTTAATGGTATTATGATCGATCATTTTGGGACCGGTCACTTATTACGTTCGATAGCAACTGTCATTTTTCAAAAAAGAACAATGGAACCTTAAGTCCTTAAGTGAACGGCCGCTTAACGAATCATCATTGGTGAAGTTTATCACAAACTTATTCATACAAAAATTATTGTTTTAAAAAGATGGATGCTAAATGGAGAACGTCATATGCGAATAACTTATCAAATGTCCTGAATGAAATATTTCCAACTATATTAAGCCTTCATCCCATTAAAAAATTAGTAAAACTATCACCATTGATGAAACAAGAAAAATTAGTCCAAAATGTACTCAATCCATGATATATAATCGACCCCAATAAAGAAAGATATCGTCTTCAATTAAAGCTTTAGCAAATAAATTAAAAAGATACAAAAATTTCCCCCATTTTAATTAAATTCTCATTTTTTATGTGCCTGATTTAGACTTGAATTTCTTTAAAAAACGTAAAAAAGTAAACAAAAAAAAGTTTCGACTTTCTTACGATAAATTGAAAAGCAGCAAAGGTAAATAAGGATTTATAATTAAATCCGAAAGAGTTAAATGAAATGCCAACAGAGGATTTTTGTTTGTGTGTATTTAAGTACAAGCAGTGATTTATAGATTTCAATTATCAAATAAAGATCTGCCCTATTTCATTCATACTTTCAATTTTGGATTATAAAGTCTCTCTCTCATTCCTCTTTTTGCCATTTCTCTCCATTGAATTTCATTTCATTTATTTCCCATCCATTTATCCAATGTTTTTATTTCGCTTTCCATTTTTTTTTTTGGCATCAACCATTTAACCTAATGCGAAAAGGAAAATTCTTTTGCTGGATTTAAATTAAACAAATCGGTTTCGGTTACAACAAAAATTGGTTTTAAATGCTTATAAACTGTTACCCCCTTTCTTTCTAGTTCCTCATTCTCAATCTATCTCATTTGAATTTACTCTGTTTGCATTTTTACTGTTTCATTCGGAATCTGACAGAAAATTTGCTCCATCATCCACCATTCCATGCCCACACTTCATTCTTTGCTCACCAACCAGCCAGCCAGCATTCAACGATCCACACTCAAATTAATTGAGATTAAACCGCTATATTTATTTCATTGTAATTTTTTTTTATTCATTCATATATACAGCTTTTTTTCCATCTACATTCCACTCTCTTTCTGCCTGTTTATTTACTTAATATATCACCGAGTTTTCAGTATTTTAAATGCAGTGTTTTGAGAAAAAGGATGACTGTTGTCGTTGAATTGTCATGTAAACGTTGCATTCAAAGAGGATTGTGGGGAGATTGTAAAATGTTTATGTATTGCAGTTCACTTTTTAGATCTCAAGTAAGCAGACATTTGTTTCAAATATTATTTTAAGGACCAAAAGATTAACAAATGACTTTTTATTTGTAGCCTGAAACAAACAGCCACTTCAAGCAAATAATGCATCAGGAAATGCGTTTATTCTAGTAACTTAACATGATTCCAATCTTTGATTAGGGGCTGTTCACTTATGACGTCCAATGGGGGGGGGGGGGGGGGGGGGGTCAGCAAGAAAAGAACAATAGAAATTCCTGGAGATCCATTGTTCTTTTTTGAAAAATGACCGTTAATTTCGGACGTCATAAGTGAACGACCTCTTATTGCTTCCTCGCTTTCACACACTCAACAATTTTTTTTCGCTATTTTTTTCCTCTTCCTGCCAATTGCCATAGCATCGCTTTACTATTAAATACATCCCATCAATTTTGAATAGCTTCAATATTTAAGCATAAGCATACACATAAATGTTATCAATAAATATATATAAGCAGGCATTGTTGTGTAGGCTGAGAGGCTTCCCTCTTCGTTGTATCGACATGAGGCGATTAATAAATTTTAATGATCAAGCTTTTTTTTTTGTTTGATCATTGATGATGTTCATTTATGTAGAATAAATTGAAATCAAGGATGTTTCTTTGCCGCTTGTTTCTTTCTTCGTACTCGTTTCGCACTCATAAATTATGACTTTGATGACTTTGATGTTGGATATGAAAAGGAATTTTTACATTTTTGAAAGCAATTTGCTCCTTCGATTTCTTATTTTCTGAGAACGAAGATGGATAAAAGGCTGCGTGAAGAAAAAACCTTTAGGGGTCGTTCATAAATAACGTCTAGCTTTTAAGGAACTGAAGGGTTCGATGCTATGTGACAATTCCATTTAATAAATTATAATAAAGTTGTGGAGTCCTTAAAATTCTAGATTTAATAGACCTAATAACCGAATGAACCCTTATTTATATTCATAAAAATATTTCGGTGTGAATGAATTTTTTTTCTTTGATTGAAGCTTTAGAAGAAATTGAATATGTAGGCGTAGAAAATTGCCTCGTGAGAATTCCAACAGTTAACATTCTTTGGTGGGGTTAATGTTGTCGAGTTTAATATTCTTATCGGTCATTTATATGCTTCTTTTAAAAGGATTTTAGTTTTGTTGGAAATGAAATTGTGGAAATTCAAGATTTTAAAAATTCAATTAAAGCCGAAAAATCTTGTGATTATCAGATAAAAATTAGAAACTTTTATAAATAAATATTTAAACTCCGACAACCCTCTTCTTTTACATTTTCATTCCACAAATCCATCACTCGAAAACAAGAAAATTTGTTTTGTCTATTAAACTTCCCTCAATCGTATTTAAACATAATTAAATGATGATGATAATGATGGAAACTTTCTTTCTGGTTGAAATGTTGTTTTTTCACCTCCTGCTATTCTCATTTATACATCAAAATGAGGTCTAATTTTCTTCTCTATCCATCCATCTCGATTAAACATCCTTCACATGATTTTCTTAATCAATTTTTCAAGAAAAGTAATGAGGACGTTTTTGAGGAGATTTCTGGTTTTAGCGCATTACTTATTTATGTAGTTTTAACATATTTTAGTCAAAAGTAGACACCTTGAGCTGAAATTCTACATAAGTAAGGTTTTGTCGATGTTTTAAGGATTTGATTCCAATAATTAAATTTCAAAAGTTTAATATCAATTCATCCTATTTTAAATGTGTTCAAAAAACAACAAATTGAATAGTTTATTATTTTATGTTATCCTAAATTGATACATTTAAAAGATTTCCAGACAGATTCAGTGAAACATCAACAATTGAGATGGAGCAAATTCATCCAACATATTTAATAAATCAGATATCAATTAAATAAGGAAGAAAATACTGAGAACTCTTAAGATTTATTTCTTCATTTTCTTCCTAGAGCTCTAGATTATAGAATTAGGAAAATGATAAAAACAACAAATTAATAGAAAGATGTTCAATCTGACGAATTGAGGACAATCCAACCATTTTGCTAAGAAAATTCTATTAAAAATGTAGAAGAAGCAAAAGTTTTTACAACTCCATCTTCAACGCTTTAACGATCCATTTTTCCCCTATTTACTTTTCCCTTCTTTTTTGCTCTCATCATTATTCTCAAAGAATGATGCTAAGCGAAAGTAAATAAATAAATGAGCAAGAGCAGCAATATTGTAGAAGAAAGGGAAAGAAAACATTATAAATGGAATGAAATAAAAAAAATTAGACAGTTTATAAAAATACATCTTAAATGGTTAAGAAAATAATACAGAAATACAGCAAAACTATGGTCGGTATCGATTTGATATAGTTAATAGTATATAAGGTTAACAATTTAATAACAATATGTAATTTTATTTGAGATTTATTTGTTATGGGAGTTAAAGGAAATTAAATTGCCTGTGGAAATAAAATGAAAAGTTATAGCAGTAAGTAGCATTTATCGAATATACAACCTGATAATTGAGCCCACGTTTATATTGCCTTGAAGTTGTGTTCAATAAACGATACCAAAAAAAAATATTCGGAATTGCGGATCGAACCATTTAAGAGCTTCGCCTGCTTTTTTCTGCTTAATTTATGATATTGAAATTGTTAAAGTACACGTGTTACATTTTATAGGAAATTTTTATGGTTTCACAGCCTCTTTATATTTACATTAAAGTTTACTGAATGGGAAAAAAGGGAAAA